GGTCTGGACCACTCGTGAATTTTGTTCGTATCTGAAAGAAATCTTAGAATACGAAAACATTGGTGAATGCCACAAATTCTCCTAAAAGACTCGTACGCACAATTTAAGAACAAATCTGTGCGTACGAACGGTTCTTGCATGAGGCCCAATATGTTTTCAGTGCACATGTGCAAGATTATGGAATTGTTTTAAATTATGTCATTAGCTTTAAGTTTTCCTCACTTAGTATTTGACTTTTTCTGTATGTTATCTTGTGTTTGAACTTAATTAAATGAAACTTTGACCTAATTTTCCCTTTGAAACTGTAAGAAAATTTAGTGTTTGTTAACTGAAATCGAGACGAAACTACATAAATGTTGAATAGATTAAAATGTGAAGAGAAGGACCTATGCAACACCAGTGACTGGAGTGAACGGTGGTTTTAATGTTCTGTGCCGGCAATGAAACCAACTCTGATGAAAACCAGAAGTCCCGGTTTATAAATACAGGCTCTTCAGTGCCTGGTACGCCCACTACTGGCCTGCGGCTGAATCGCAGACACTCGTACAAAATACCTGTACTTATGTTTGATTAATGTTTTTTTATGTGTTGTGATGGTGTTTCAGGCATGTATCTAAACTATTTTAATCAAGACATAACAATTGTCAAACAATGGATTATAAAAGTCAATACTTAAAAAGGAAAACTATGGAAATGGTGTAGTGCTTTTAAAATCAGTATCTAACATGACTAATAAATTTCTTCAGCACATTTAGACAATTTTTAACTTTAATATCTTAGTGAGTTGTGTTTTTTCACTGCATACTTTGAGACACTATAAAACTGAGAAGCTAAAAATACTGAGGTGCAGAATAATTTTGTTTTAATTGAATATAAATTATGCATCAGTGAAGCGGCTCACCTTTTGTTTTTATATTCCAGGGCTGTCCTCAGCTGCTGCCTGCAGAAAGAATCCTGGTGCCAGTCAACGTAGTGAAGCCCATCACTCTGCGAGCTAAGAACCTCCCCCAGCCCCAGTCTGGACAGAGAGGCTATGAATGTCTTCTCACCATCCAAGGAAATGAGCACCGAGTACCTGCTCTGCGCTTCAACAGCTCTTCAGTGCAGTGCCAAAACACATCGGTAAGAAGATTGCATGTTTGAAAATATCTTTTATTTGATGCATCATCATCATCACCTCTGTGCAGTCTATATAACTGTAAACTGCTCAATAAAAGTTACCACTGTATATTTTCAATTTGTCTCATTTAAACACAAATAGCAGCTAAGGAAATTTAGTTCTTGCAGATAGAAAAAAAAGAATAGATAAGTTTGACTTTGTCTTCTCTGCACAGTCATCCCTCCAATGTGATCTATCCACTGACTGAATAATGTGTTGACAGCAAGCATGAAAAGCCTTCATGCTGGTCTTGATGCTAATGATCTGTTGATACAATAACATCCCATCTTCCTGTCTATCTTCATCACTCTTGAGTGTGAGTGTGTAAGTGTCTACATGTTGAGATGTCTGTGGGATTTGTGTGTGTAATCACAGTACATTGCAAACATTGTACTTTGATTGAGCTGTGAAGGAGGGAAACTGTAATTTAGCAGAAAATTATGATTCTAGCACCAATCCTCTGTGCTGCTAGTGTTTCTGAACCAAATTGAAAAAAAATGAATCTTGACATTTAATGCTCTCTGATGTGTACAGTGAGTGTTTTACTTAGTGTGGGTATTTGTGTAAAAAGCCACCTGTTGATATTAGGATGTTAGAGGCATTTGAATGTGTAAATCAGGGATGTCCAAAGTGTGGCCCGGGGGCCATTTGTGGCCCCTGAACTGACTTTGTGTGGCCCCTGACT